TGGGGCTACATAAGCTACTTTTGCCCGTGCGCTACCAAGGAAACTCCTGCCGAAAATTCTACAGTTGGACAGGGTTAATAAGGTCTTTAGATTAAAACTCATGTTTTCACACCCCAGGCATGGCGAGATCGGCGTGCAGAGGCCCCTGTGTGGTCCTTGTGCAAGTGACAGTAATTATCACTCCACGTACGTGACCCATAACTAACGCTTACAACCCATCCTCATTTCCTCTCGTTCCCTCTTCCCCCACCCCCCAGCACAAAGACCTCTACATGCCGATCTGGCCGATATCGGGCGGCGTGAAAACTATGAGTTTTAATCATATGACTCTTATTAACCCTGTCTAACTGTACGATTTTCATTATCCCTGCAATTGTACTGGCCTGATGCTGAATTGCTGAAAACATATGTTTGCCGAATAAAATTTCCAAATTAAATATGGGAGTATGAAAAAAGTACCGACGCGGACGCGGGCTAACACACAATCAGCACATAATGTAGGCATGGGGTAGCATTTTAATTGCGTCCTATAGATACTGCACTCCGTGCGCCTTCATCACTTTTTATCCGCGACTGGTTCGGAGAATAGGTTCGAGTGAAACTCCGCAACGTCAGGCCAATATTCCACCGATCGAATCCACTTCTTCTGATCGGGTTATTTATTGCACAATAAAATGGGAATGCAAAGATGATTAAGTGCTCAGATTCTCCAGCTAGGATATGACCAATTAACCTACTCTTATGTTAGTAGTTTGCGAAAATTGTCAGCACACAAACTTCAGCCGGTCAGTAGTTTCAGTAAGTTGGAAGATTGCTTGTAACGGCTTATAGAAAAAAGAGTGATCCTCTGTTAGTGAAGTTGTGTGTCGAGGCTGGGTCAAAAACCCTGACATCACACGTTCGTGTCTGTAGTTGTACCGTTTGGAGTTACAGACCACGTGATTGCTCTTATAGAGGTAGTTGTTATTCCCTTAAATCTCAAAACAACCCTAAATATTGTTTAAGCTGCTCTTCTTTTGCGGCTTGCCAATAAATCTGCAAACACTGCCGAAACATAATTATAGTAAATAAACCTTCATTTATCGGGCTGTTTAATAAGTGAGAAATGTCACACGGCAGACATAAGGAAAATGTTTTAGTAATCCTGCTTTGCGGATGCCCTTTTCTTGCCGGTTTTGGCCGTATCTAAGCTCGAACTTGGAACCTTCTTGTATTGGGATTGAATTTTTGTTTAAGGATCTTGTACTAATGATGCTAGGTCGCTAAAAGTGAGATACTATGCCCGTTACATTCCACCGGCCTGCCGACCTTACTTATATGCATCTTATGAGTAAAAGTAAGGATTATATCTGATAAGATATGCATACCGGCCCTTTTTGACCCCAATAGCGACCTCCCTTTGCGCTGCTCCAGTTTATTCCTAAGAGATTACGTCATAGTGAAAGAAAATTTCTTTCCATTTGGAGAAGAGTATGTTCCCATATAATCACTAGCATGAGACAGATTTCTATTCAAATTTTCTCATCATTCACTCGTTTTCTCTACAGAAATTAGCCATTGAAATGGTTCGGCGAAGGGAACCCCTTCTCCAACAGCATAATTACCTGCATTTGGGGAACTTTACGAATGCAGTGCACTTTATGGCACTGCCCCCAAGCCAGGAGAGTCTGGCGAGGCAATGGAAAGCCGGAGTGTTTGGGAACTTTCTCGTTACTATTTTGGCCTTCTTACTGCCCCTTCTCTTGCTCTGGGACGCTGTTTTTGAGTTCGAAATGCCCGAACGTAAATTCTCTACAGCTGCATCTACAGAGGCTCCAACTCCGTCCTTACTCAAACGAATCACATTGTTTTACAACTCCAACAGGACAAAGTATATACTTGATGTGGTGCGTTATCGAAAGCGTTTTGTTTAATTCAACGTAATCGTTCTATTATTAATATGATACATTTTATAAGTATAATAGTTTCTTACAATCTTCGTGTTATTTAAGGAAGAATTAAAAGATTCTTGGAAAATGCTTCCTTTAGGTCTACTACTTGGCCTTTCTTGTGCTTCTATCGTACGTTCTCATGGTTGATATGCCACGAAGTGGAGTAAGTGTCCTCGAAGCCATCTCCATTGGATTTATCTGCTTTTCATTCCTGGATCTCTTCTTAGAGGTAGGCAGTGATAAAATCTTGATTGGAAAAGTATACATTTTGTAAATTAGTTTAAAAGAAGATATCTAGGTATTTTTATAACAGGCGCCGCCGAGTAGGGCAGGCTACCCCCTTATAAAGTTCAAAAGAGCTGGTATAATCCAGCATTGCAGAATCCTTGTCTCCCGTGTTGTTTTCTGATTCTACTCAATATTCGAGGTCGGATCATAATTTTGGGAACTATCACGACGTTTTATAAAATAATGCTATTGGTATTATTTTCCTAATGTGTACACAGTTTGCTTATCGGATTTATACCTTGCTGTTGTATACTTGACTTCTCTTGATTGTTATCAAACCCTCTCATATTCTTATGAGTAAATTGAATTAGGTCTATGCCAGGCTGAATTCCTAAGAATTTTGCATATTCCTTTCACACTGTTATCGGGGTTCTAATAGGTACTTTTTGAAATTTACACCATTTGGTTGGGGGGGCATAGAAAATTAGGATACTGCACTGTGTTAGCATTTCCCAATTTGGGTAACCTGTCATTTCGGAGAATACTAACACATGTGATGCAAGGTTTTCCATCTTCCTTTTTGAAAATTGTTAGGTCTTTTTATGAAATGTATCCCCGAAAAGTATCCTCTCTTCACTAGGTAGTTGCCCATCAACAGTTTTATTGGCAAAACTATACACAGACAGTAATTAGCTTTCGGCCGCATGATTGGGATTGGGAAATAGCAGAGAAGTGCAATTAATTTAGACTACATAATTAGTTCTCGTAAAACTTGGAAATTGTCTGAAGTACGGTGGATTAATGACTAGAATGAATGCCACAAATTACCTGTTTATCTAATAATCTAATCTAACTCACAAAGTTAGCCATTCACCATAAAAATAAGAAATTTAAGATGCCTTGCCATGATGCCTAAAATACTTAACATTTTTATCTGCAAAGTTGATAGTAATAAACGTAATAGTAATAGTAAACATACGTAGTAAACGTACATATCAATTTGGCATCTCTATTACATTTAATATGCATATTTAGTGAAAGAAATTTCGTGCAGATAATGCTCTTCTTTGGAAGCAAATGTAACGAACATGAATTCTATTTAAAGCGTAGGAATCGTCATAAATACCTTAATTTTTTCTCCGTTACAACATTTCTTATAAATCAACTTCGGCTTTTGTAATGGTTTTCAGTGCTTATGTAACTACTCCTAAATGAAGATATATCTCCAAAGTGCGGTAGAACAGAACAATTTTAATGATGGCTATTTCAATATCTTGCCCAGGTTTCTACTTTAGGCCTAACAGTGGGAAGGAAGGAATGCAGCCAGTTTATACGGACATCTCCCTGGGTGACATTCAAGGCGATCATATATGTCGTTGGCTGGATTTTCTTCATACTTCGAATAAGTGGTCTTGAAGCCTACATATACATAAGAACACTCATGGGCTTCTTGTGTAAGTGACGCTGCTACATATCCTCGTTCAACCTTTAACATTTTATTTTATTTGAGGACCGATTTGCGAAACTATTTCATGGCAAAAAGTTTTAAAGTACTTTTCGGTTTCTTTTTCTTAGTAGCTCTCTTGACCCACGAGCCAAAATAATTTAAAATCCAAACGTACTTATCATGCTAATGTAATGCAGCTGGTGTTGAATATACGCCTTAGTCAATGAAACGTTCATTAAAAAGACCAAATGTTTTTATATTGATTAAAATACGTGGTAGGTGAAAATGTGATCCCCAGGTTGTAAGTCAGAAGAAGGATGAGCGTCCACCGGAATAGGTTTAATATGGTTCTGACGTTTCAGGTGGTTGTCTCGTCTACCCGTCTTACTGCTTACTGTTCTCGTTATATGCTGCTCTTATTTCCTGTGTGAATTCTGTCAATCCCGACTAAGCCGCTGTCTGCGACTCGCATGTCATCGTCACTTGTATCTCGGCTGTCAATATTCCCGTTCGTCCCCTCCGCTAGTGTAGCACTAGCGTTAGTTTCGGTCCCATGTGTGTTGGTCATCTGTGCCGCGTAGTTCCCCGTCTCTGACTTCTTTCACGTGATATATGCGGTAAGATATGGTGATTTGAAAGGCTAAAAGTGGCTAACGTATGGCCTGCTCGTAGAACACTGTTAGATTGCCGCAGAATGAGAACTAACTTGCCTTTTCACTGATGGATATTCGGCGATCTTAAATTCCCGCTTACCCATCGTTATTTCGAATGTGATCTATCAGGCCTTCTCAACAGCCAGCTGACAGCTTTTTACCATCACCCCTGGCGTGAAAGGTATGGGCCTGGGTTTTGCCGCCTCCCCCACCCCCAGTCAACAGAAGAGGCGTCATTACTTGGCCTCGGGTTTCGCCATGCAGACGCTAAATCTCGCGCGGCTGAAGTATCGATTGACGGGAGGGTCAAACAGGCTGATGGCGACATAGATGAGCAGTCGCGCTGGTTATCGGGGGAACAAACAACAACAGGTTCTCCGTATAAACCGAGAATGATTATTCTATTTCTTGTTGTTGTAGTCTGCACCTACCTATTTTCGCTGCTCGTTTCTACGTTATCCCTGTGGTGGACGTTAGATGGGGACATCACAAAACAACTGGCTAAACTGAGGCCCTATTGCAGTCGTGTGAGTTGGTTTCGTCAAATCATTTAACCGGCTGTTAAAACACAGGCCCTTCTAGTCTCTACACAGTAGACCTATCTAATGGCGGTAAATGAGACAAATGTTGGCATGACCTGTCTGCCTGAACTTTCACATTGCCTTACTTTTATGATCATGAATATTATAAATTGCCCGGTGCTAACCCACTGTTTAAGGGGACATAGACATCCCTAGCAGCAAAGTGGACAAAATTCGGTATAAATCCGGCATATGTATCCGGATTTTTCCAGTAGAATTCCATGATGGAATCCGCTTGGATTGGCTAGTAGGGTGGACATGGATCCAGTAGACTCCGAACGGCTGGACTTGCCCGTTTGGTTGTCTGTCCTTCTTTTGCTGGGACAATCATAATTTCATCATCGCTCTTGAATTTACCAATGGCCCTTACCGTCGTCAGAAGAAAGTAAAACCAGTGAGAAATGTTGATTGTCAAACTAGACCGGTTTGCACGACAAGACAGAGAAACTGGCAGACTTCTCAAGACGCGAATTGCCGAACAGGCGGCGGCAGTGCGGCGAAATGATGCCAATTCTCAAGTTGCGGCTCATTCGA